TAAATAAATAAATAAATACCTATTTAATATATAAAATGATTAACTTACATATTTTTCGGCAACACAACTTATGTATCATAAAAAAATATTAATTATAAAAACCAAAAATATGAATACTGAAGTTAATGTACTTAATACTAACCTTACAAGTAAATAAAAGCGTTTGCCTCAGACCAATAAAGAAACAAAAACGGAGCGTTGCGTACACTTCAATCTTCAAGTGATGCAAAAGCCGAGCCGAAACCATGCTCAACGTATTGTAAGAACATGTACTCACGTACATATGCATCTAACTATAACTTAAATTTAAATATCTTCGAAACAAAAAGCGCTTGTGATCTTCAAACGGTTGAAAACATTTTGTTGAAACATAGCTAAGAACACTCGATCAAGGCACCTTTCAAACAAAAAACCGGCCAAGTGCGTGTCGGACTCGCGCACCGAGGGTTCCGAACAAATCCGTAGGTATATAAGCTTAAAATTATTAAAAATATTTTTATTATATAATGTAACTAAAAATTTATGCTTTTAGCAATGTTTCCTTTATCTGTGCTATAATACGTTGCTTCGTACTAAATTTTAAGATTCTGAGTTCACGGGAAGTACCTTGTAGGTTTTGATTCCCTTGCAAGTGTCGAAGATTTGCGGCATATACGGCTGTATCTTTTGATTGCGTTGGCTTAGAAGTTTGATTTTTTCATAGCTTAAGAGGCAGTAGACTTGACTATTTGATATGAATTTCAGCCTGATACCTCCACGCGTTCCTGAGAAAAAGGGTCTTCACAGACAGATAGACGGAAAACAAAGTGATCCTATAAGGTTCCGTTTTTTTCCTTTTGAGGTACGGGACCGTAAAAATATTAAATCTAAATCGGTTCATCCGTTTGGCAGATATAACACCCCTCTGTTTGCCATGGGGTTTAATAATCATTTGCAACCAACAACTTGGTTTTTGGTGCATATGCGTCTAGCAGTGAACTATTACGGGCTCGTAAACAAGGAAAGTAGATAGACGTGTGAGTGCGTGTCAAGGAGTTAAGCATAGTTTCGGCATTACTTGAAATATACGCAGCGTTCCATCTAGAGACATTTGCTTCAAAAGTAAGGCAGCCCTACCTAAAATAGGGTTATGAAAAATGTTTTCAGATGACGCCAAATAATACCCTACTGTACCAATAAAGTTGTTAACTTTATTAATTTCTTTTAATCTTTATTTAATGAGCTATTATATATTAGAGCTATTATTTTTATTTCTTTATTTTAATCAAAATGCGGTTTTATACGTGGTAGAGCCATGCTGCAGCTATATTAGTAGTATAGTTGTAGCACGAATGGGTCGGCTCGACCGGGGAAGGACCACGCTCTCACAGAATACCAGCGCAAAATAGCAGCTTAACACTGCTGTATTTCGTATGGTGAGTGTAGAGAACCGGAGACCCATTTTACTGGAAACGAGGCATTCCATCTTAGTCCTCACGGGTGGCAACGCATCTGCATTTTGTTTCGCAAACGAGGATAAATGTAGATGTCTATGGGCCACAGCAACCACTTACCATCAGGTGGACTGTGTGCTCGCTTGTCACCCTATACTATAAAAAAAATGTCACTCTATTTGACATCATCAAGAACTAAATAACATTCAGTTTAACAATCAAACAAAAATGAAAAAAACAATCTAGTAGACTGATCTGAGGAGAATATTATGCTATAAAATTTAGCCAATAATTGTGTTTCATCGCAATGAGGATTGGATAAAATAATGTAACATTCAGCAAATTAATTTCATTTTTTTTACACTTAGCTATTGGAAAGACAGCACTGCGGCCGCACTTCATCAAGAAATGCACTAAGTCCTCGGGGACACCGCATTGTTCACAGTTCCGTGATAGGACGCAGTCTCATAATCACCATTGCATACTTCTTGGTAATATGTGACTATCAATTCATGGGATTCTAAGGGGCTGTGACTGTACCGTTTTATACCAGATACCTTTTTCTTTAGAGCGTAAATCAAAATATTCCTTCCATAATTTATAGCGTTGTTTTATTTAACCAAATGCAATATGTATAATAAGGGAGTACATTATATTCAACTCCATCAGTAATAGCTTGTCTAGCCCAAAACATCTACCCGTTCAATATATTCAACGCCACAGTATTATATATTATTTTTTATAGGAGAGGGGGCAAACGAGCATGCGGTTACCTGATAGTAAGTGACTACCGCCGCCGATGAACAACTGCAACACCAGAGGAATTGCAGATGCGTTGCCAGTCTTTTAAAAAGGAGTAGGCTTTTTTCTTAAAGGTCCCTAAGTGGTATCGGTCCGGAAAAATCGCTGGTGGCAATCAATTCCACAAGGAAGTCGTGCGAGGAATAAAACTTCTTCGAAATCGCACAGTGGTGGACCACCAATCATCCAGATGGTATGGATAGTATCGCGAGTTTTGTCGCGATGTGCGGTGGTGAAATTGAGTGGCTGGAATTAGTCCGAACAATTAGTCAGAGCACTACCCGTGATAGATGCTATAAAATACGCAAAGAGATGTAACATCTCTACGCAGTGCCAGTGAGTCAAACCGATCGGAAAGAACTCGGTCATCGACAATTCGAACCGCTCTGCGCTGGTTGCGATCAAGTGGAAAGAGTTGACACTGGGGAGTCCCTGCTCAGAGATAGGAACATTATTCCATGTGCGACCGAACCTACGCCTTGTAAAGTTGCAAGCGGTGTTGGTACCGTCATGAAATACTGTCCCGCTTTGCTGAGCACTGTAACTTGGTAGATTTAGAACTGGAGATCAGATTTAAAATACAGTCCAAGACTGAGTAGGCTATCGCAGTGCGAGCCAAGTGATAGTGTGCGCTTTTAGAATCTGTGAATATCATAATTTTTTAATTTTTTTTATTTATTGTGACACAAACAGTCATTACAAAGAAAGTACAATATTATAACATTACACAATTAACAGACAACGAGTGCCGAAAAAATACATTAGAATAACATTTCAATTTAGCTTGTTGAAAGATTTACCCATGTTAGTTGAAGCTGAGTAGTAAATTTATCTTTATGTAACGACAACAGTACAGTAAAGCTTAAAATAGGTAACTTAATTAAAGTTGAAAAACATACATTTTTAAGGGACAACAATTAATACATTGTAAATATTACCGAATGTTACGCTGTTAAGTATTTATCTGAATAACTTTTAAAGATACTTCGTTTAAGACTTTTTAAGGAGCAACTAAAGAGATCGAGATTTACAAATTCTTTATTGTATAACTTTAACGAACGCGAGATAAAGCAGTTTTGTGTATATTTTTTTCGAAGTGTAGGTGGTACGAATGTTTGAAATACACGTTGAGGGCGAGCGGGCAGACGAAAATTACTTTTAATGTTTATTTTGGCTAATAAGGGAGAGCAGTCAATTATATTATTTAGAATTTTATACAAGAAAATGATATCGAAATATTTACGGCGATCGCTGAGACTCAACATTTTGTGTTTATGAAGGGAGTTAATATACGGCTCGTATATATAATATATATATATATATATATATATATATATATATATATATATATATATATATATATATATATATATAATAATAATTTTAAATTAAAATTACCGTAATTTTGCTTTGATTTTACAAGATTCAGGATATTACAATAAATTACATTAACTAAATCTGTTGGTAACCCAAGTGTTCATAGAAAACATTTCCATTTGTCGGCTGGAATGAATATAAATATTATAAAAACAATCGAACATATTTAGCAATAGTGGCTTCTTTTTATTTCGCTGACTATTGTCATTATATGTCAAAAAGTGTCGTATTATTTTAATTTTAACATTGTTTTCTCGGGATCTAGCTTTTAAATAAATTTACCTCCTAAATACTTGCTTCGCACATGCAACGGAGGAAGACCAAGTTCACACTCTATTCCATGTATAGAAGTTTTTTTTTAATAATACCTCCAATTACTCTCAGCCAAAGACATTTATGGTCATAAAATAAAGATAAAAATGAGCATCTGAATATTTTGTCCTATAGGATATACTTGTATTTCGAATTTATGTCATTTAGTTTTAGTGACATCGTCAAAAGGCCAAGATGCATTCTGTGCCGGACAGGCGCAACTCGTGAGTAAATGTTGTCGAAGATACTCCGCGACTCGCTCACGTCCTACACCTATAGGTTCCGTCGGATACGTCTACTGCCGACTGTGTAGATGCGGCAGGGATACTGTAGACTGACGTCCAATCAAAATGCACGAACTATAGAATAAAAATGGGAAGGCAGTGGTCAGCGGTTCGACTGCTCAACTGTTCGGCGAAAATCTTCTGACTATTGGTTGTCTACCACGGTTGTTGAATACGGTTGGTCAACTACGGTTGTTCTCTATGGGTTGTTCACTATCGGTCGGTCACTATATTCTTCAGATGATTTCTTCAATTGACTATTTCTTCAAGTTGTTCAGTAGTAACTTACTACTACTAGCACTATCTGCTTCTATTATCACTGGTTACTAGCTACTACTATCAGTTACTACGTTATATTAGCAATGTTACCGCGCCCCGAGGCGCTTAGGTGGACCGGAGCTTTACTTTAAAGTGAGCCGCTTGCCATTGCCTGTTTTGCTTCTTTATTCTACTTTAATCTTTTTGTTCTACTTCTGATATATACCTAATTACCGAAGGTTCAAAAAAGATTAAATAAATAAATGTATTTAAAAATAATTCGAGGCAGAATTATTTTTAAATACATTTATTTAAAATTTACCTTTGGTTCTATGTTCATTGTCGTTTCAAATAAAAAACTTTAAGTTTTTTTCTTAATTGAAAGAAAAAATATTTAATTTTTGTTTACTTATTTACATAAAGTTTTAGTTTTATTTACATAAACTTATTACTTATTACTCTCTATTATAATTACTATCACTATTGTCACTTGTCACATAATTAAGTAAATACTTTGTATTCAGATTAGAATAATCTAGTCTGTCTTCTGTAAATTCATCCCCCTTTTTTTTCTCTCCATCATTTTGACATAACTCTGAAAAACGTAAAATATACTTAAATGAGTAATAATCTCATGGATTTGCAGTACAAGGGTAAGGAAGAATCATCTTCATGTTCCCAGCGGACATGACGTTCTTACAATGCAATTATCGGTCTAGTTGCTCTATATATATATAATTAACTTTGAATTATTTGACTGTCTCGTTGTAGTAAACGCTCTAGTGGTAGTAAACGCGTCTGCTGATCATGAGGTCCCGGGTTCGAATCCCAGGTCGGGCCAAAAAGAAAACAGTTATTGAGATTTTCCGTCAAGAAATTCTCAGTAGCAGCCCAGATTCAGGAAGTTGGCGGTGTTCCCCCCTGCCCCCCCCGTGCCTTGAAAAGCACGTAAAACCGTTGGTCCTGCGCCTGATCTCTCTCCGGTCGAGTCGGTTTACCGTCCCATCGTACAATGCGATGAGGGAATAGAGAGTGCACCTGTGCTTGCGCATACGCTTGGTCACTATAATCCTATCCTGCGCCGATGGCTAGTCTCCGTTGAGGCTGGCCGCCGTGACCGAAATTCGGTCTAGAGGACATTATTATTATTAGATATTATTTATTATTAAGAGAGACTGGCATTTTGGTCTTGTTGGTGTCAGAAGATTGGCGGTGCTAAACCCCTGTGCCTCGGAAAGCACGTAGTCGTTGGTTCTGATCTCTCTCCGGCCGTGTCGGATTACCGTCCCGTTGGAATATGAGAGTGAGGAAAAATAGACTGCACCTGTGCTTGCACGTACACTCAGGCACTATAATCCTGTCCTGCGCAGATGGTTAGTCTCTGCTGAGACCGAAATTCGGTCTGGAGGACATTATTATTACGAGATCAGTTTGAGAACTTTGGGTCCAATCTTTTAGGATGGATTGTCCATCAAAATGGTCCTCGCCCGTAATTCAGCAAGATGGCTGAGCATTTGGGGAAAGTGACTAACTAACATAATATACATCAAACAAATAAACACGAAACAATACTTTTAATGGATTACAACTTACAACTTTTGTTGTTGATACGGATACAGAAAAAAAAAGATAATTTAAAAAAGTATAAATTAAGTTTTACGGCCATTGCAAAATACAAGTTGCAAAATATGACTTGAAAAAATCTAGTCTTACCTCCTCTGCCAACTTGAGTAGTAGAGCCGAAGTCTCCCGGCCAGTTTGTTCCACCAGCATCTTGAATATACCCCCTTCTAACTCGCTACCCTGTGACCTGACAATCGAGTAGATTTGACAACGTTATTAATAAATTACGCGTGCATGATTTAATTTGAATTCGCTAGGTACCTTTAGTAGAGTCTAAAACTTAATTTCCGTTTCTTTTTTTATTCTTTTTATAGAATAAAGACGATAAACGAGCACACAGTGGACATGAAGGTAAGTGCATACTGTAACCCATAGACATCAACATTTATCTTCGATTAAGAATCAAAATGCCTCGTTTCCATTGAAAAGAGTCTCACGTTCTCTAAAGAAATGCACGAGTAAGAATCGTGGTAGTTTAGGGGATAAGCGCTCGTCGTCATTATCACACTAGCACATAGCAACCACTAAAATGAGTGTAGTGACGGTGTAACAGAATCCACTATCCTAAATCATTCCGTGGGTGATTATAACTCAATAAGGCTAGCAAAATACTGCGTTTGCCGACCCGCTTTTCGAGCGTGGCAACTTTGGCAACACTGCAATAGGAGATGGGAGCATATTCTTGATAACGACTCAATAATAATAATAAAATATACTGCGTTTGCCGACCCGCCTTTCGAGCGTGGCAACTTTGGCAACACTGCAATAGGAGATGGGAGCATATTCTTGATAACGACTCAATAATAATAATAAAATATACTGCGTTTGCCGACCCGCCTTTCGAGCGTGGCAACCTTGGCAACACTGCAATAGGAGATGGGAGCATATTCTTGATAACGAATTAATAATAATAATAATAAAGTACTGCGGTTGTCCACTCTCCTATCTAGTGTGGCAACTTTGACATATATCCCCCTATGAGATAATATATGGGAGAGCTATGTTCAGCAGTAGAGTTTTGATGGCTGTAATGAATTTTTTTTACGTGGTAGAGCCATGCTATATCAGTAGTATAGTTGTAGCACGAATGGGTTGGCTCCACCGGGGAAGGACCACGCTCTCACAGAATACCAGCCTAAAATAGCAGCTTAATTGTGTTTCGTATGGTAAGTGTATGGTAAGTGTAGAGATCCGGAGACCCTTTTTGCTGGAAACGAGGTATTCCATCTTAGTCCTCACGGGTGACAACGCATCTGCATTTTGATTCGTAATCGAGGATATATGTAGATGTCTATGGGCCACAGCAACCACTTACCATCACGTGGACTGTGTGCTCGTTCGTCATCCTTATCCTATAAAAAAAAATTTAACATTGTCATAACAACCTATCAAAAGTACTGAACATAGGTCGC